TGCAAAAAAAAGCTACGATACACACATATATATATTTTAATCGAACGAACGATCGTTAACAGTTATTCCAAAAAAACGTCCTGCAAAGAGAGTGTGTGCTCGCTCTAATTAATCGTTTAATTATACAATAAAATTATGTACCGCTTCTTTCTTCCAAACGAAACAGAGAGTGCCTTGTGCGCGGATGCTTCCGTTTCATGTCTCTCGGTGCAAAATAAATTGTGCCATGTATATATATATATATAATAGATCTCGCGAATACACTCGTGTATCTTTTCTGTTAAGATGAAAACAATGTCTGTGAAATGAAATCGAAGAAAAAGAAAAAAAGTAGTCCACTGTGGTGGCCGCGCGCGTCGATTATCGGCGTTTCGAAATGTGTATCGATAAAGAGAAAAGAAGAATAGCGTGTAAGTAAGAATGACAATGCAGGTGAACCACACACACACACACACACACACACGCACACGTTGTAAACTTCTTTCTCTCCTTGTTTTTTTTTTTTTTTTGGTTTTTTTGTTGTTTTATTCAAGAACTTTCTGTCTAAACCCATTTTCATTTTCTATTGCAGATCGATCTGTTTAAAACGTGCTTTAATATTGTACATAGAGTTTGGCGAATTTCATTCGCAGCGGCAAAAGTGAAAAATGTACGTGGAGGAAGTTGAACCGGCGCGCGTTCCAAGCGAGAAGAAATTCGACGAAAAATGGGAGAAAAGAGAAAACAGCATTTTAGCGCGTTCGCGAAACGATCGACTTGAATTTTCGCCGCTAACACTTGAATAAAATTTATAGACTTTTTAACTAATCGTAAAACATAAATAAATCTATTTTCAGCATACACACGCAGGCGCGCACACGCAAACACACACCCACCCATCCAGCTTAACACATTCATCCGGCATAATTATCGTAATCATAATCAACATCGATTCGTGCTCTTCTGTTTTTCTATTTCGACGGATAAAAGTTGGAAACGGTATATTTAGAAGGCTAGTGTATAGTGTAGCGTTTCATGTCGCAACAGTTCTCTCTCTACTTATGCATTTTAAACGCTCGAATATAATATCTGCTTTATGTAAAATTATAAATAACCTTGCTTGCATTTATTACTCCAGCTATCGCGCGCTTTTATATATATATATAT